TAGCAGCAAAAACAAGGATTTTAAGTCTGTATGTGGCCCACTGGTGACATCAATACCAGAGTGTCATCTCCCATCCTCGCTTCCTGTTTTAAAGGAGTGCTGAAAAATTGGAAAGAGGACAGAAAACAGCCGCACAAATTCTAGTTATGGGCCCACCCACACAGAGGGAGGGTCCTCTGCAGGCTAGGTGGCACTACATCTTCTTGTAGTTTGTAAAACGGAACCACAGAAATTCCCTCGTTACTACGGACATCAGCAGGTGAGATATAATGGTCCATTAGGCACAGGTCAGAACAAACCTCCCCCTCTAACATAAACCAAAATGGGGAATTTTCACCACCTCTTCTGCCAGGGGTGATGGGAGTTATAGCCCTGGACCAGGTGTTTCCAGGTGGAATTGGCTTTTAGCCTGAGCTGCGAAACCAGTAACAGGAGCAGCCACGCATGTCCAAAGGAACGGCCCTTGCTGCCCGTGCGCCTTCCTTACCTCCTGGAACTCATTCAGGAAGGAGTGCTCGTACTCCCCCCGGCATCTCTGCTCCATCCTCTCCTCTATCATTCGGTGCAAGATGGTTGTGACAGCGTCGGCGCTCACTCTCTCCAGCAAATTCAGCTGGCGTCTACAGACACAGTGACCCGATTCAGAGTGTATGGAAGCAAAGGTACAAGCAAATAAAGAAAACGTTAGCTACCTGAAGGCACCTTCCTCCCTGTATGCTCCACAGAGGCAGGCCTAGCTCTTACTTTAAATGCTCTGACAGCTGACAGAGGTGCACTACATATGTAACACACGACACTACTGTTGTCCTGTCTTCCTTAGAAACATTATTTTCTAGCCATCAAAAGCTTTTTCATTTAGAAGAGTTTGCTTCTTTGTGGACAGAAGGCCTTAGAGCAAGAGGAAGACATTCTCATATCCAGGGAGAGGAACTTTGTGCCCTAAAGATCTGCTCTTGTTCAACCACCAGCTGGCAACCAGCTGCAGAAACCCCGTGTCGAGTTCTCTAGCCAGTACCAGGATACAGCCTGACCTCACGCGCAAGTCCTCCCATTTTCCAGCTATCAAGAAAACCTCCTGCTGCTCCCCATCCAGACCACCCGCTTGTTCTGAGTAGGGACAGCCACCACCCCGTAACCTACGTACAGGATGTCATTGAGCTGCTGAAACTGCTCCATGGCTTTGGGGCACCAGCACTGCTCTCTCTTGCTGCTGCAGCCTGCACACAGAGGGCTCTCTCCTCCGCCCTCCTCCGTATCACTCTCCTGCTCGGTCTCACTCATGCTGCTCTCGCACTCATTCGTTCCATCTTCTCCTTTCTTCCACTGCCGCATGTATATCCTGAAAGTGCGGCTGTAGAACTGCTGGATCATTTCCTGGAAGGACTTGGTAGTGGAGAAGAAAAGGATAGCTTTGAACATGGTGTAGACCTTTTCTTGCAGCATCTGAGCGCCTGTCCCCAGGAGCAAGCCTGCCTTGGTCCACCTCTCCAGAAGTTCCAGGCTGTTCAGGTAGGGGTCCAGGCGGCACTTGAGAAGACAAAACGCATCCAGAAGGAGCGAGGAGCATTGGGGCTCCTCAGCGGTGTTTTCATACTGGCCGATGCAGTTCCAGAATTCAGGAGCTATATTTGCCTGAAGGTCCGTCTGCAGCACCTCAATGAACCACTCCTCCACGATCGAGTGCAAGTCATAACACCGCAGCACATCCAGGGCTGCCCGCAGGTCGGCATCCTTCAGCGGCCCCACAGCATCGGACCTCGGTGCTGCCTGGAAAGCGGAGGGGATACCAAGTTAAGCATGCATAAAGACTTCTCTAGGAGGGTCTGCGGCAGAAGAGCCCGCTCATCTCAAAGAGTGGGGACCAAACGCACACAGACTCTGCTGTCAAACAGCACTGGGTGGATCCGTTCCTCCACAGACACCTGCTGGGGTCCCAGCCCGCTGCTGGAAGCCCAGTACCCACCTCTCAGGCCTAACACCCCAACCCTGCACACTGTCCATCGCTGTCCCTGTAGCTGCAGGGCACATGTGCTGGTGGGAGAGCCAGGAGCCGCCCCCGGCTCCCCAAAAAGCCAGGCTCTAGGGCAAAGCCTTGCTTGGCTGCCGTGAGCCCCCTTGGGGAGTGAGCAGGGAGCAGAGCCGCAGGCCGGAGGGGGAAGCAGCGCCTCTTTTTGGCTTTCCTGGCCAGTGTGACGGGGGCCCGGACCCCCACGGCCTCTCCCTGGCAGCCCCCCCGCAAACACCAGCCGCCGCACCGCCACGGCCCCCCTTCCCCTCTTCCCCGTTTCTCCCCCCCAGCCCCCACAG